TAGTAGAGCAGAAAAGGAATAGAGGACTCTTTCAGCATTAAACTCTCTCTCTCTCTCTCTCCTTCCAAGAATTCAGGAGGTTGGCCCCTCGAAGAGCCCTGAGTTAGGCAGGTTCCTAACAATTTGGTATCAGAGCCAGCATGACCAACACAAGAAACACATCAGTAGACACCCGAGTGGATCAGATGGAGGTTGAGATCCATCGAATGTCTTCAGATCGCAAAGAAATGAAGGAAAGCTTCACTGCTCTCCTCCATCGATTGGACCAGGGGCCAACAAACATTGACAGAGGAAGCCCCGAAGAGCGCAACAATGAAAACAGTCGCAGAACAGGGGCGACAACACGAATAGCCAAAATCGACTTCCCCATATTCTCAGGCGGCGCCCCAACCCCCTGGATTCTCAGAGCAGAAAGGTATTTCGATTACCATGAAACATCGGGACAGGATAGGGTAGCTCTRRCTTYTGCGCATCTTGAAGGGGAAGCTATCCTCTGGTTTCAATGGTACCGAAGGGGGCACCCCCGTCAAACCTGGCTAGATTTCACGGACGCTATGACTGTCCGTTTTGGATCATCTGGGTTCGAAGATCTTGATGAAAACTTGGCAAAACTGCGGCAGGTGGGATCAGTAAAAGAATACCAGATGGAGTTCGAAAGGCTGGCCGTGAGAATCCAAGGATGGACTAAGAAGGCACTGGTGGGAAGCTTTGGCAGCGGCCTAAAGGAAGAATTGTGACTGGAAGTGAAGGCGATGCAGCCCACTTCCGTCATCAATGCGGCAGCACTAGCAAGATTGTACGAGGACAAGTTCAGTCTAGCAAGAAAGGTGCAGCGACCATGGGGTCTAGAAGCAAGAAGGGAGCAAGAAAAGACAACAACACCAGACAAGGAGGAAGGAGTACTGGGCCCAGGCCCACTGGTTCCTTTCAAACGGCTGACTTGGGCAGAGATGCAAGCCCGTAGAGACAAAAGTCTCTGTTACAACTGCGAAGAGAAATTTGGGCCGGGCCATCGCTGCAAGAAACAGCAAGCGTTTCTCCTCCAAACAGATGCCGAAGAGGAAGACGACATCCCCGGGTGCGGAGAATCTAACCCAGGTTGGGAAATACAATCCAATGGCACACCTGAAAATCCTTACAAGCCCTTACGGGACTAGAGTCCCCTCAAACAATGAGAGTTGCAGGGCTGATTCTAGGGCACCAAGTGTCAATCCTCATAGACAGTGGCAGCTCCCTTAACTTCATAACCCAAGTCTTGGTAGATAAAATGGGACTTCCGGTTCAGCCAACAACAGCCTTTACAGTTCATGTGGCCAACGGTAACAGCCTCTCTTGCAATAGCATTTGCATGAGCCTACCACTAAAGATTCAGGGTCATCAGTTTGCGGTGGACCTATATCCTCTCCATCTCAGTGGAGCAGACGTGGTGCTAGGCATTCAATGGTTAAGGCAGCTAGGACCCGTGGT